AAAACAAGAAAAAAAAAAAAAAAAAAAAATGTTGAACTTCGTTGTGACAGTGGCAATTGGTTTATCTGTGGGATGTGTCATTTGCTTTGTTCGACTGACTGATAGGCCTTCCTCTTCCTCTTCCCTTGTCCTTTCTTTCTTTCACCGGATCCCTTTCTCTTTCTCTTGCCTCTGTGAGATTCGGTTTCCTCCTGCTTTTCTTTACCTCTTTGCCTTTTGGCTGCGTGCAAGTGGGTCCTTGTGACACACGGGGATGGGGGCAGCCAGCGCTCGACCTGTCATCCACGTGGCTGGCCTTGTACATAAGAGGTGATGAGCAGGCGGAGCTTTCCTGCCTTAATTATTTCCTTTTTTTTTGTCCGCCTTTGCGTTCCGATTCACAGTGTGACAATATATATTGTCGCGCAAAAAAGGGAAAAGAAAAAAGGAAAAGGAAAAAAGGACAAGGAAGGAGGTAAGGAAAGCTCCACCTGTTCATAACCTCTTACGTACAAGGCCAGCCATATATATATATTGTCACATTGTGAATCAGAGCGCAGAAGCGAAAAAAAGGGGAAAGAAAAAAAGAAAAGGAAAAAAGGGGAAGGGGAAGAGGTAAGGAAAGCTCCACCTGTTCATAACCTCTTACGTACAAGGCCTATACCTTGTGTATTTTTATCGTTTGTTTCGCAAAGTCCTCTCTTCAGCTCATAGATATGTGATTATATGTATATCGGCATTATACATAATATACATACACATGCCCCTCGTTTGTTGTCCTCTTCTCCCTCTCTACCTACGGTTTACCGGGCAGCTCTGTTTGATCATATATGTATGTGCCGTCGATATCAAATATCAGTCAACACGAACAACCGGAATGCAAACAAAACTCTCTCTCTCTCTCTCTCTCTCTCTCTCTCTCTCTCTCTCTCTCTCTCTCTCTCTCTCTCTCTCTCTCTCTCTCTTCATCCACCTTTCGTTTGTCTCCCGCTCTGTCGGCTGACGCTACTACTCCCGTCATTTATCGGCAACCTATCACCGAATTTAAGAAAACCAAAAAAAAGAAAAAAGAAAACGCCATGTCTGCTATTCAACCCCTCCCGTCTCCACCTCTCCATTTTCATGGGCTGGAGTCTTTAAGCCCCTCGCCCCCTTCCCTTACGCACAATTTCCCTGTCTACTACTTTCCTCCCGCCGATCCAGCATGCTACCTCCACATAGCCTCTCTGTGTGTGTGTGTGTGTGTGTGTGTGTGTGTTTGTGTGTGTGTGTGTGTGTGTGTGTGTGTGCGTCTATATCCAACATCCGCCAGCAGGAACAACAGGAATGCAAACAGACCATTCCCCTTGCCATCGATAATTCTCATTCCCCTTATCCACCTTTTTGCCTTCCGGTCTGTCGGCTGCCGCAACTACTCCCGTCATCCATCGGAATGCTATCACCAAATTTAAAGAGGAGAGGGGGCGGGGGGGGGGGAACACCATGAGAGCTGCTCAACCTCTCCCTCGCCAGCCCTCCATCTGGATGGGCAGAGTCCTTAAACCCCTAGCCCCCTTCCCTTACACACACAGTTTCCCTACCTTCGACTTCCTCCCACCGATTCAGTATTCTCCCTTCACATGGCTTCTCTCTCTCTCTCTCTCTCTCTCTCTCTCTCTCTCTCTCTCTCTCCCGATCGAGCATCCTCCTCCACATGGCTTCCCTCTCTCTCTCTCTCTCTCTCTCTCTCTCTCTCTCTCTCTCTCTCTCTC